TTGTGATTAAGGGGTGAAGTTTTTAAGGAGAAATTAGATGCTAGTTACTCATAAGGGTCAATTTATTATGAATCCCAGTATATTATTGTCACGAAGTTAAAGAACAGTATGAATAGAAAAGGACAGTAGAAGCGCGCGCTAATGACGGTTTAAATGACTGTGTGTAATACTTCTGTTCAAGGGAATATCAGATGATATTCTCTTGTTCTGTTACTTTGGTGAGAATTCGCTTTTCTTCCACTAGGATGAATTAACATGTACTTGACAGACAAGAATACTCTTGTCCGTCCACAAGAAGTTGTGCACCTTTTCTAGTTGTAGGCAAGAATGTACAAGTTCGGTTGAGTACTTTAGATTCCAGACTCAGCTAGAACAGCTTTGATGTTGTCTTTAATTAAAGGAGGTACTGCACGCAGGGATGTAACACAACTGTAGTTATCAGTTTATTCGCATAGCCTAACCTTAATCCAAATGTTGTCCAGTTTAACTCTTGTAATGACTGTAATGATAGCAGTAATGTCAAATATTATCACTTGTTAGATCGATAACGTAATTTTAAGGTAACGAGTAAAACTTAGGTACACAAGAACAACACAAAAATCAATTTCGATATGAATCATGCCGAAAATATCTCTTTAAAGTTTGTTGTGATTCTTGAAATATATTTTGACCGGGCTAACTACAACTTCCGCGCGCATCCCTTACGTCATCTTTTAGAATGACGTTTCCCTTATTGTGACATCTCTGTTACTTCAGCAATCTGCGAGTAAACAGTCAAGTTTTAGCAACCATTGCTGCGCACTCGACAACGTTCTATATTTCGATAGCAGTTTTTAATTCGCTATAAGAAAAAAGTTAAAGAAAGAGATGGACATGGAAAAAGCTGGACCGTCTACAAGAAATCCTGAACGGCAATTGCCAAATAAAAGAAAAAGGTACAGTTCAAAGTTCTTTTGCTTTCGCCGAAAGGTTCCATTGACACAGTTACTTTTGAACTAAAAAACCAAGAAAAGCAAAGAAAACTTGCTGATGAGAAAAATGCATGAGTTTTCTTGTAAAGTGTTTCATTCGACGAGTTAACAATGTTCATCGCATGTTATGTATATAGGACTCTTCGTAGCAAGAGAACGAAAGCGCAAAAACTGGAATGTGATCCACCCAACGTTTCCATTTCTGCAAAGGCAATTAAAACTTGAACAGTCCATAGACATGTATATTTTACGGCTGAATGTTGACATTCAGTTGGTCAATCAGTCGGTCGGTCAGTCAGTTTTCAACCACTCTACCGCTTAACAGAAAGCCAGACACTTAAGTCAGACGCACATTTAGTTATTTAAAAAAGTTATATTTTGCTTTTTCAAAGAAACAAGAATGATTCATGTGTGGATCCCTTGGATTATATACTTCTTCCTACGCCGCCTCCAATGGATGAAGAAGGAATCTGGAGACTTGAGAGAAAATACTCGAGAGGCAGAGGGAGAGGCTCATACAAGGCTTTTATGATTTGGAAGGTATGTGCTACTTGCCGAAAAAAATTTAATTTTGTCAGGCTCTGTTGGTGGTCAGGCATGATTTCTTCACAGTTGCAAAGGTTTTAGACTTTGGGAATCCGTGTCAGCCCTTTTCCCTAAATTTTTCCAAAAAGTGGCAATTCATTCATGACTAATAAACATTCTGATACCTCTCTCATTCCGGGGCCACATTAGAAGGCTTGCTGACCCAATGCGTCATCCTATACAATTTCAGATCATTTGCTGTGTTCCATATGTAAATCGAACAACCTATCCTCCCCTCCTACCCGTTCATCGGCCTCCACTAGTTCAATTCTTCTGATTGTTCACCCACAAACTTCTTTCGTTCGTTCGTTTAATTTATCTAATTCCTAGCAAAACTCATGGCGAGATTTCAGTCTTCCTATTTTTGAAGTATCTTACGACATAATGGCGAACATAAATAAGTGTGACGAGTATTCCTCGACCTCTTTCTCATATCACTTGTTGTATAACATAGAATGTAACAGACAACCAAGCCGTTATCCCAGACGTCATCACGGACCCTGCAGCTCGAGAAAAAGAACAGCTGAGAGAGGGTGAGTATGATGACAACGAGAAAACTTCGCTTCACTTTCATAGTTGTTTAAAGATGTAAGCAAAAGTACAAAAAAAACTTAGAGAACAGCCCTAAACCTTAAGGATTTTGTTTACTAATTTCTCCTTACGATATCACCCTCAGGTCAAATGTAAAGGTTATGAGAGTTAAGGAAATGATATAAATATTAATGTTAGGGTGCAAAGGGTTAACAGTGAGCAATGATTGAGTCGTTACACGTGACTTGGCGTAATCATGAGCGAGCATTCGGGCCCGTCTTCAAATTTATTTTCCATGCGTTTTACGCTCTATGAGCAAAAATTATCTTAACAAGCGTCTTTGATTTATGTGCACCAGAGCTCATTACAAATCCATTTGAAGAAGAAGAACAAAGAAAAGAGAGAGAGAAAGAATCATGGAACCTCGAAGAAGAGAAGCAACTTTGTTCTGCGTGAGTATGAATCGGAGGTTTCACCACGGCCTTTTACAGTAGAATCGCAACAAATCAATGTTGCAAAAAAAAATGTTAAAAAACACAAACTTTATGACCATTGGATTTCAAATCGCTCTATGAAAAATTTGCGCGAAATATCGTCCTTTCCAAATTGTGTCCTTTATGCAAGAGGCGAGAATTTCTTACACCAAGACAAGCCAGACCAATCAAGAACTTTCCACAATAATCTTTCCGTTTGCGGTTTATTAATAATAAGGTACATTTCGCCCCGACTTATCAAAGATAAAGTAGAGGTGCACTTTTTGGGTAAATTTTTTAGCAGTGATGCGCTGCGCGTTTTTCTTTACCAGTTCATCGCAATTTCAAGAGGAACTGGTTGCTAAATAATTTATTGTTTCATGCAAAGATTTTTTCTACGATGAGTCAGTAAGGAATAGTTTGATCAGATGTGTACTTAATTTGAAACAGACAAAGATATCAAGTCAGAAAAAGGACAATGAAACTTATAAACCAATTTTTAGATGTGTTAATCAAGAAACAGTTTTATTGTAACTCTCCGTAGTTCATTTTAGTATTATCTAATACATTTTACCGATGCGTATGGTCTTGTACGGTAGGTTGAAAAGAAAGAAGCAAGACTTCTTTAAAGCAGCGGAATCAGTACCAAATAAGGTAACGGGACAAATCAGCACGATGATATGATCAGATAACTAACGTCGGTGAGGAAATTTATTCAATGTCGTGCCCAGGATCATATCGGTTGCTTGTCAGCTGCATTACTTAGCAACGAGGAGCCAAAATGACCTCAGACTCGAGATTGAAATGCAGTTGCCTCACAGTTTCCAATCGTTTGCAAACATGATTAAGTGTTAATAGATGGTTGACGATTGTTGTTATTGCATGTTTTTCTTATACATTTCAGACGCGAGAAGAATGCGTGGTACATTGGTATCATTACAAAAAGAAAGAAGATCATATCAAGGTCAGAGATAGCAGCTTAGCTTTGTACAGGAGGAGGGTGGGAGGAAGGGGGGGGTCATTTTCCTTTTTGTCTGAAAACAAAAATTGAAGTTTCTTCGTTGTTTTCCCAGAAAAGCGGATAAAAAATTTGGTGTATTCATGAAAATTAGTTCTAGAAAAAGGTTCCCATTTACTTATTCCCCAAAATTATCTGTTAGCAAGTGTAGAAAACCCCTGAAAAGGTTTTGTTTATCTGTTTGCTTTTGAAGAACAACACTGACTATAAGTCTAATTCCAGTCGCACCTACCAAGTTGCGATTAGGAAAATATTAAAAAGTTCCTCTTGATGCTGTTTTGCCTGGTAAAATGTATGATGACGGAAGTTACTTCAAAGTTAGGATATCGATAACTTCCTTTTCTCTGAAAAACGCAAAGGATACCTTGCTCCCCAGTAGGTATCTTAGAATAAACCTTGCTCCAGATAAATTAATCATCATGTTCCCATGTTCCGGTGTTAACAATTAGAAGACCATAACCTCCTAGCTTTAACTGGCCACCATCGTGAAGTTATCGATTACGCTAAATATAGAGTATTGAGTTGAAATGGTATTGTGGGTTTGATTTTCTTTTGTTTAAAGATAATGTTAGGAGATGTTTTTGTTTTAGAAATGAAACTTCTCGGCTGTTTGTGACATTGGTATAGACAAGAATTGACTCCGTATTTTAATCACACTCGCAATACCCGATACTTTACAATTTTAATTAGGACTCGTTTATCCAGTATTCTCACAAATCTATGTCTCTTGGTTTCTACAGGCGTGCAACACTTGCGCGGTCCGTGTGGAACGAAAAAGGAAACGCAAACTGATCCAAGAACAAGAAGACGCTGCAGAGGCTGCCTCGCCTCCAAAGAAATCGAGGTCAGGAAGGACCATCAAAGTTCCTCGACGCTTCTCTAAGGGAGCCGAGGGGCGTCAGATGTGAAGAAGAAGCCTCTGCGCCAAGGGGCTCTGGGGGGGGGGGGGGTTATGGGAGAAGGGGGGGTCACACAAGATGTTGGAAGGAAAGAAGATTATTGTGCTAGAAGAAGATGATGAGCAATTAAAATTTTGGTGAGTATTAAGGCAGATGAATCATATTAATTCAAAACTGAAGGTAGTGTATTCAATAAGAAGCGCTACAATTTAAGGAAACAGCAGAAATAAGATTCTAGGAGGCAGTCTTTATATATGCGCAGAGCAGCCTGAATTTCTCTATTTTTTAATAGCCAATTTCGAATTTCGAAGAGCTTCTATGCAAATTTTCACTTTGTTGCTTTTTGTTGTTGTCGCTTAAACCGTTGGATTTTAATTTTGTTTTTATGTAACTATATTATGAGCGACATAATTATTTGAAAATAGTAAGTAGTTCGCTCAACTAAGTGGAGACTGGGGCCAAGACTCTGTGGCTCGGTCCAATTTGGTCAGCGGAGTTATTCATCAATATTGAACCAAGGCCTGGTAACTAGCTAGTTGGTAGCGTCCTTAGTAGCAAAGTTTGACCCTTTTCCGTTCTTGCACCTAAAATCCCATCGTCATGCCGCGAAAAGCTTTAACTTGCACTGTTGCATTAGATATCTATCAGGTAAGACCTTCATTGACTGAAACATCTTGAAAGATATGAAGTACAAGGGCACGCAAAATGGCAGATTAGTGCGAGATGCTCCTGCCCTGCGACAACTTGATTTTGTTGTTGTTATTCTACAGATAACATGCCCAGGAACACGGCATTTGAACGACAGGAATATGCTTTTTCTGTCGGTTTGTATTTTGGGACAGACGAAGAGGACCAAATCGGTGTTTGCGACGTTCCCTCTCGCACTGAATGAAAGAATGTACTTTAAGAGGGTAGGAGATTTGTAGAAATTATACTTGATAAAGAACAGACTGTACACGAAGATTAATATGACGCGAGTCCACAGATGTCTCTGGATAAATAATTAATCATCTCTCTGAACATTGTCAACGCTTCCCTAATTAACTTATTGGCTCTTCCACAAGCGTTCTTGGTTCTTCAGATTTATGATTGAGTTTCGTTATTTTTTTAGACTTTCGTAAATGCAAGGGAACCAACTCATGTGATGGGAATTTTGGAAGGTAAACACAGATATTTCGTTCAAAGTTGCACTAGGAAAATTCTCTTGAAGGAAGTACAGGTTTCTTATTCATATTTTGCTGATTTATTATTTTTTAGATGAACATGTGTTATTTGAACTCGTCCAGTACTCTGATGTGTATAAAGGTGAGTAACAGAACTTAAATTAAAACCGAAACATGATTATAATTTTATGTTAATTTTAAAGGTCTCAGATACATTTGCTGCTTGTTGAAAGACTTGGAAATAATTGTTCATCCACCTGCTACTATAAACTATCTTGAGGGCACACTGTGTTTATTCATGTAGCCTGGCATGTTTTGTTTACCCTTATCTGCTGAATAATAATTCCCTCTGCAGTTAGTGTCAGCCACCCTTCCAACAACTGGTATAAATGGAGTTAATAAATAAGCTGAATGAATTTTGATAAAGTGAGGTAATAATTTGAGCCAAAAGTTATCACTATGGCCAAATTCTTTAACCCTTTCATTCTCATGAGTTACCAAGTCAGAATATCTCCTCACAATGTCGATACAATATCAACCAGACAAGTGATGAGAATAGAGAAAATACTAAATTCTCTGAACGAACATTTTAAGAATTGTATGGTTGGCAGTAAGGAGAATTACAAATTTGATCAGGGAGTTAAAGGGTTATGAAGGAGAATATTTTGGTGGCTCAGTCAGAACTAATTAAGCAAAATCTTACAAATTGCCTGAAGCCCTTATGCTGTGAGAGGAAATAAGTCATTCTATGTTCAAAACAATCTGGGTTCTTTTATTGAATATATAAAAGAAACAAATAACTAAAACTGAGGCATAATAATTGATGCTTGGTGCACAGCAATTGAAAAAGAAGGGGAAGATTATCTTATTATCTCATTCTGATTAAAACTTCAAAGATTAAGTTTTAGTTATTTTTTTTGTTGTTAAAGGAGGTAAAGTTCTGGCTCGCTATGAGCAATCAGCTAGGGAATTTCTGTATCCTACACCAACCCTGACAGGCAAAGATGGTGTAGAGAGGGAGCTGTTACTGGGAAGAACCGTACACTTTACAGTAAGTTAACTGCAGTGTTACACCAGAATGCTACACAAGTTATGCACAAAGATTATAACATCAATGAACAAACTGATTTCAAATTTTGACCAACATTTCTGACATACGCTGTTACATTGGGTCCATCTCGATATGAATTTGTTATTTGGAATTTGCAGGGTACTGATCTTAAGTCAGAATTTCCCGTAAACTAAATTTAAACCAACAACAGTTTCTAAGTGAAATGTTAATCATTAGGAGACTGCAACTTCCTCGTTTTGTCTGGCCACCATCTTGAAGTTATCAATTGTGCTAAATATAATGTACTGAGTTGAAGTTGTGTTGTGGAGGTTGATATTCTTTTGTTTAAAAACATCATGTTTTATTTTAGACATGAAACTTCTTGGCTGTTTGTGACATTGGAGTAAACAATGACTGACTCTATATTTTAATCACACTCTTAATATCCGATACTTGAAAATTTTAATCAGGATTTGCTTATCCAGTATTCAATTCCCTTAAACCAACAACAGTTTCTAAGTAAATGTTAAAATGTAAGTATATAAACTATTTGTTTTTTTTTAAATTTTATTTTTGAGGGTATCGATCCTAAGTTAGAGTTTTCTTCAAACTCTACAATTCAAGAGACAAATGTTCCTGGGACATACAGGGAACTTACCAGTGTCAGTGTTGGTGATGATGATGATGATGATGAATCAGCTTCTGATTCTCAGGTAATTGATCAAATGGCAACACTACCCATCTCCAGGTTCTCCTGTTGGGTATCTCAATCTTGTCATCCTTACAAAAAAAATTCCCTCAATCCTGTTATTGTGACTGTCACAGTCCTTATCACACTCATAGTCCAATCTTTGTGATCCCTTGCCTTAGAGAGTGAGATTCCTAGGCCTTGTACAGTAAATTCAAATCAAACCAAACATACCTGAGGAATACCTTGTTTAAAGTATTATCATGCATCTCTTCCAATAGTCAGAAGACTTTATTCCACAGAATTATTTCAGGAATGTTGAAGACCTCTTAACTCCTTAATTAACCTTTTTCTGACTTGTGGGTTTGGTATGGCATCTTGATTTTTGTCACTGGACATCTGGATCTTGGTTCTTTTAAATTATAATTAGTCAAAAATCCTATGCATCTTCAAAAAATTTGAATTATCATGAGAGACTTTTCGATGACATTTGCATGTAACAAACTGCAGGCAGCTCAGCTACAGAAGATGAGATTGTTTTAACCTAAACTTTTGTTAGGAGGCTTCCTAGATTCTATTTCCTGATTCCCACTATGTAAAATCCTACATACTCTTAACCTTTTAACCCCTACAAGTGTGTAGCATCTAATTTCTCCTCACAATATCACCCCTAAACCAAACATTAAGGTCAGGAGAACAAAGGAATTAATCAACTAATAACAAAGCTCTTGATTGTTAATCAAATTCTCCTTATGTATAATGTTGATGTCAGGGTGTAAGGGTGAACGAACTAAAAGCATTTGATTTAATGCATTCAACAGGCTGAAAGCAGCTCAGAAACCGATGAAGAACTCATTTTAACACCAGCTCCAACCCACCATAACCATAGCATACATGCCAGAGAGTACCACTGTATCTGTGAATGTCCAAGGCGCCCTGAAAATCATGGGAGAGTAACCTTAAGATCAAGGTCACTGTCTCCAACTCACAGACCAAAGTCAGCCACACCTTCCCTCAGACCTCCATTCAAGGCTGGCAAGGCTGATGAGAAAATCATATCCCGTCGCAAGTTTGTAACTCCCGGACAGTCGAGACGGAAGAGTAAAATTATTCCTTTGGAGGGGGGCCCGGGTAAGAAGATCACGATGACTGTTCTAGGTGAAACTGCAAAGTGTTATTGGATGGGAAAAGTTGAACTTCATACATGTTGCTAACCAAGGTTCAAAGTCTGTTTACTACTGTAAGTTACGGACCAATTTTGGTTTTTTTTTTAATCCGAGCAAGCGAGGAAAAATCAGAACACATTTGCTAAAATGAAGTAGCCCGCAGAACAGGCGTAATTTTTTGTGCGTATGAGGGTGACCATATGCAAGCGCGAAAAAAAATTTTCTTTCGCGCTCTTCTTCTAGTGCGTAATTCGTGATAGCCTTCATTCGCCTGAAAACGCAAAAAAATTATGCCCGATCTGCAGGCTAAAAAATTTAGTTACTTTCAGAGTACCTACTTGGTTGCTTTATAAAGCGGGACAACTATAGTGAAAAAAAAAATTGACAAAATTGCCTTTTTTCTTCAACTAACTGGGCTTAAACGCCTTGAAAAGATAAACAATGTATTTTTTCCTTTTAATTGTCAATTTTTATTTTAAAAAAAGCTGACTGATTATGGCTCTTTTTTGTACTTAACACATATAGCTCCGTGTCCAGATTGTAGAGTTCCACACAAAGAATGCATTGTCTGCCAAGCGTACCTGAAAGTCTATGGCAAAGACTTTTTGAAATATCGGTTTGGTCGCGTTCCACACAAGCGGACCACATCCACGCCGGCATACACATCTTTTGCTTCAGAACCACCAAGGCCTCGTGCACCTGCACTAGTTGACGATCCTCTGGATGTTTCAAGGGCTTACAGTGAGCCCATCCCCAGGAGTAGGAGAATATTTCCACGGGAACCTGATGGTTACGGCTCGTATTTGTCATCAACTAGTCCAGAGATCCATGATCGGGTAGATCGCTCGATTAGAAGGCGTTCTCCGGTTCCTGTAAGTAAACACTAATCATTGATAATTGTCGTCGATGCTCCAAAACACCGCATTAGCCACCCCCTCTCCCCCCTGCCAACGTCGCTCACGCCACCATTCCTGAAAGAGAGCTGAGATAAAAAATAATATGATTAAAATTACAGCGAATTGATGGAAAAAATTATTTTACAGTAAAGGAAATTAATATGGAAGGGTTGGTAAGTTTTCAAAATGAGGTAAAATAACAAAATTTCCTCAAAAAAGCCAAAAAAAAAAGACGCGGGCAAAGAAACGCCGGCACTGATTAGCGCTAATAATGTGGGCTTGCTCGTAGACAACAATTAAGTGAACTTGAATTCTTCAAACTTTCGTAGCTGATGTTGATTCCTTATTGAGGAAAGAGAGGGAAACATCATACCTCCAATTAGTGCAAGACTTGATATTTAATTTGAGGATAAGTAGATTATCATTCCCTGCTACTCTTTTTCTTTAGACTTACACTTCCAAACGGTTTGTAGAACTGTCAGACTCTGAAGACGATAATGACAGTTTGCTCTCTTTACAAGAACTGAGGTGAGATTTGATTGCTGTATTTGTTGGTAAGAATTAGTGTTTGTCTTCTTTGGATTGTGTATGCTTGTATCCTCTTGTGAGATACAGTACATGGGTGCGCTTAATTGAGGAGATTCAGTGGCTTGGTGATGAGTGCGCTTGACCGCGGCCTGAGAGGTCTGGGTTTGAGCCTTGTTCAAGTCACAGTGTTTTTTTATCTTAGACAATTTACTCGCACCATGCCTCACTCCGCCTCGGAGTTTAATTGGGTACCAGTGTGATGTGAGGGTAACCTGCGAAAAGTTAGCGGTAAACCTGCAATCGACTGACATCCTCTTTATGGGAAGGGAGGGGAGGAACATTATTCCATATCACTTTAGAGCACTAACTTCGCAAGATATAATAATTGTGGATATATGAAAATCATATGTGTGCACTGCGGTGAAGAAACGAATATAAGAGATCCTCGCAGCTTTGATCTTCTCCTTCAGTAGTGTTCATAGTTGCGAGGATCTCTTATATTTTTTTTGCAAGATATGTTCTATGGGTCTATCATCCACTGCTGATAAAAGCTTTGGAAAAGCTGATGTAATTTTTAACATTAGCCATTAGTTGGACCTAAAAACCTACTCTTGGATCGTTAACTTTTTTTAAATTTTATTCCCTATTAATAATCACAGCGTGTTTGCACAACTGGCCGCTTTAGGCATCTAGAAACTCATTATGATAATGGACACCTTGTGGATATTATCAAAGCTGTGAAAGGTGAAGACATAAGAAAAATGTAAGACCTTTATCATTTCACTTCTTAATTCAGATCAGAAATAAACGGTGCGAGGTTAGAATCTTTAGACAGATCATTTGAGGATCCTGAACATCCCACGTTAGGGACAAGATTAGACAGAAGGTAATTACATCAATATCAGTTATAATCGGTGACATATTTCTTTTTTAAAGTCAAGATAACTGCCCACCAGCAACGAGAAGCCCTTGACTAATTTTAAAGCTCCTTCGCGTCTAAACCACCCACACTTTGCTATGTGTATATATATATATTTTTTTTTAAAAAAAGCGTTTTTACTGACATCACAACAAAGTTAAATCATCTCCAATATGGGAGCCCCAAACAAGTTTAACCTTGCAACACACTCACCTTTCGACTGGACGGATACAATCTGCTAACTCATTAACGCCGGCTGAAGTTTTTCTCTGTTTTTGTCAAATTTCAGCCTTCGAGGTTATTGACACGCAAGTTAAATGGAAAATCGTTGATTTCCTCCGAAAGGTGATTTTCATATTTGATTGTTATCTAAATGACGTATTTTATTAAAACAACATGACCAAAGAAATCTTTTCTTGAGATACCCATTATCTAGCGTTCACTCTCGTTTTGAGAATGAGGCTTACGTGAGTACGGAAAATTCCCGATTTACAAACGATCCAAGATCGATTACCTCACTCTTGCATGGGACCAGTCACCAGTTATCGCCTGAGGTGGAGGGGGGGGGAGGAAGAGAGTGAGGAGAAGGAGGGGGCGCAGGTCGGAGGATTTTGGGGTTGAATGGCATGCTTTTCAGGGGGATCAGGTCAATTATACAGTGAGACAACCAAATCCTCCGATTCCCCCCCACCCACCTTTCCCCTCAGGCAATAAACATGACCGGTTCTTTAACAGAAAACTTTGATGCGTTCACAGACCTCTCCTGTAGGGGATATCTGAAACATTTCCTTACTCAACAATTTCCATCTGTCTGTTTCAGTGTGACTGTGCCTCTATCAAGTGACTCGTTCTGGTCTAATCTCAAGTCTCAGTTCACTGGGCGGTCACACCGGGCCTTATTTGAAGAGTCATTAAAAGAGATATATCGGAACATGTACAACACTGTAAAAGAGGCTCATTATTAGAAGCAAATCGCGACGTCTTGCGAAAATCCCATACAGAATTTCGGGTCTTTTTTACGACGGTTTTGTAACGACGGTTTTTTCAAGTGTTCCTGGGCCATATGGTACAGGCAATGTAGGAGCTATGGAAGCTTACTTCAACAGTTTTATAGAGTTTAGTATTTAAGTTTTCATCAAACTTTTATCTTAGCAACTCTTAAACCTTGCATGTATTTTTACACTGATCTGACACACAACTGTGTTCTTTTGTCTAGTCGGTTCAAAGCGGCACGAGTTGCTTAGCTAGGAGTGTGTAGTATATGGGAACTCGAAAGTTAACATTTATTAAGTTAATAGTAATAAATCTATTTATTTCTTGAACGTGGTATGTTCTTTTCATGTGACCTCATACTTAGAACGTTACTTGTGAGAGGAAAAGCTCACTGAACTTCTACCAGTGTAAGTTTTGGCATATTAGGGAGCCTTTAATTATATGGGTCAATTGAAGATAGAGGCCCCTTCTTTCAACAACCATTTAAGCCATTTATGAAATGGAGATATATCAAACTGGAAAGAGAAGGTCACGCGGTAAACAATGGGCATAACCTCGACCGGCTAGTGCTCCAAAATTTCTAGCCTGCGAGCACACCCTCGATATTTTGCGCTGCAGGACGCGCGTTTCCCCGCCCGCTAGAAGATTTGAGACAAGTTAGGGAGAGGTTTTCTAGGGGTCTGACACTGATTATGGCTCAATGTCTGTCCCAGACCTCTTGACATCTCGACAGCTCGCGTTGCTCAAGGCCTCGTACTTTTCGGCCCACGAAGATGCGCTAACGACGAGTAATTGCACCCGGGCTAACCGAGTTTTCTCACTAAACCGACGATTAAGAGCACCTAAAACGAAACTTAAAAGTAAAATCTTCCCTATATCTCTCAGTAAATATGCACGCTATGATTGGCCAGCTCAGCAAGCTGTACTCTCCTGCACAGCCCGCTTTACTTAAACCTGATACTTGTTTCCAAACCCTCTTGTTGATCAGTTTTCTTGAAATTGTGTTAAAAAGTGCTCATGATTTCCTCCAATTCTGCCCTTGTCATTCAAAGCCGTTGCGCATTCGAATCGTTTCGTAAAAAAAAACTTTGCCGATAAAGAGGCTTGAGTTCAAACTGCGTCATACACACAAGCGACCAAATTAATCCCACTAAAAAAATCAGGGGCCTCGTTAACCGTAAATTCACGTATTCATGTCAACTTCGGATTTAAGTGTAAGGTCTCTAAACATGACTGGTTCAATGATCATATCCCGCACGACGCACGTGGCAATAAAAAACATAGCAAGGGGGGAAGGGAAGAGAGAATTACAATTTGAAATATTAATTTGAAATATTATATCCAAGAAACTGAAGAAAACTTTAATTCGTCTCCCGGACCCGACAAACACACAAAGATAAGACACTAAATATCTCAGTTTGTCGTCTCGATGCACACCATGAAAACTATGTGGATAAATCACATTGCGGATCCTGAACTCGATTATTAAGAAAGGCTTATATCGTGAGACGCATGGCTACGCGCTCGCTCTCATGAACAAACCGCAAAATCCCTGACTCGTTCGTGCTTCTACGGCCCTATCTTTTTCGCGCTGCAACAGATCATCAAAAGACATGGGAGGAGTCCCGCAAAAACCCCCGTAGGGCACAAGGACCGAGTGACAAGCGCAAGTGAGACCGAGAAATGTGTGAGCTACGCGGTCTCGGTATCTCTAGGGTTACTGAATGGCACATATGTTCAGCTCTTCAAGCGAATCGTGGGACCGAGAAATGCCGCAAGCTACGCGGTCACGGTATCTCATAGGGTTACTGGATGGAACACATGTTCAGCTCTTCAAGCGAATCGTTTAAAGAATACTGATAATCATATGCAAACAATTATTGGAGAGTTTTTGTAAGATCAAAATGTCAATGCAATGTTTACAACTACGACTGAGATTAGTTTATAGCTTTGAGAACACGGGTTCCTCTTTGTTCATTGTCGACTGTACAGCTTTCAAAATGTCTTCCGTTTGTAACATAGCCATGTTCCAAGTGGCCTGAAGGGTGAAAAAGTAAAAAAAAAAACAAAAACATTAACCATTTTCGTCTTAAAATTGAACAAACTGGTTGTGCTCTGATTGGAGAATAAATCTTTTGTGTGTACTAAAGACAATTATTGTAGCCTTTACAGTATGTTTTTTACCATGTATTCCAAGCCCTCTTGTGCTGAATGGTCTCTTGAAAAATTAAGGTTGTGCTTGGTCCCTGCCATGGCAACAGGACTTTTCTTGGCGATCTGGCCTGCTAGCTCCAACGCATCCTTTAAAAGAATATCACGGCCTGGGCTGACGCGACTACAAGGAAGGAAAATAATTCTAAAATTTCAGTTTGCGAGAGTGTGAAATTGTGAATAAAAAGTTAAGTCGCCACATTCTTGGGTAAATTTTACGATGCACTAAACTACCTTCAACTTGATCGAGTACCAAATATTAGTTCAGTAAGAAAAGAGAACACATAAGAGGCAGTAATGAACCAAGATGGATGGCTTAGGATGGAGCAGATTGACACGGATTGTAAATTAATACAAAATGTTTAGTTCAGTAAGATAAAAACATAAAAACACAAAATAGACAATAATAAGCCAAAAGGTAAAAACGATGATTAATAGGTTGTATAATTGTCTACAAAATATAACGAAGTTCTGTAGGATAGAGAAACACCAAAGAGGCAATAACAAATCAAGAACTTCAAGGAACAAGAATGATTAAGGATGGAGAAGATTGTCACAGATTGTAAATGACTTCAAAATATGAGTTTGGTAAGATAGAAAAACACCCAGGAGACAATGAGAAACCCAGAAGAAACAAGAATGGCTAAGAATGGAGAAGATTGTCACAGATTGTAAATGACTACGAAATATAAGTTTGGTAAGATAAAAAAACATCAAGGAGACAATGATAAACCCAGAAGAAACAAGAACGGCCACGAATGGCCAGGAATGGCCAAGAATGGAGAAGATTGTCACAGATTGTAAATGGCTACAAAATATAAGTTTGGTATGATAGAAAAACACCAAGGAGACAATAATACACCCAGAAGAATGAAACTGGCCAAGAATGGAGAAGATTGTTACAGATGGTATATGACTACATTGTATAAAATGTTAGTTCAGTAGTAAACACACAAAAGAGAAAATGGTAAACCAAGTATGAATAAGAACGGCCAAGAAAGGAGAGGGTTGCCTCAGATTGTAAATGACTGCAAAACATTACTTTCAATTGATAAAGTGTAAGTCATTTCAAAGCTTCAAAATCTTTCTTCCCCCCTTCCCCCTTGGAAGCCCACAGGCAATCGAAGGGCATTTGAACAGAAACTGTCAAGTCTTTCCATCCCAATAAACATGTTTGGTCTTTTTTATGGAGATGTTCCATGGTCAACAGTTAACTTTCACACACAGATGACCAAGAAGAAAAGTTCCACAACAAGTTTCATGCTTGCTAATGTTGTCTTTTTAAAAAAAATTTGATGATCAAATCTGACACTTGTTCAGGCATTTGAACACAATTTTGGCCCAGAGGAGGGCAAATTTGAACAAACCATCTTCAAAAGTTCAAATGCCTGAGGATTGCCAGGGGTGAAGTTGAAGCTTCAGACTTACTGATGCATTAGACTTTGAGCTCAGTTTGTAAGAGGTATCACAGAACAAACCTTACAAATCCAAATTGCAAAGCTTCCTCAGCTGTGAATCGTCTACCAGTGAAGCAAAGTTCTCTTGCAAGACTAAAAATCAAAATAGAAACAATTTGATAGCTCTGCAATTCTAAAAGGCCAGCTGCTTTTTTTCTTATTTTCAATATCAAGGGTATCAAAAAAATCTCTTCAAAGACCAATTTGATTTTTGGGGTTTAAATGTGTTGAATAAGAAGTAACAAAACAATGTTCACCTGTCATTTCCAATAATTTTTGGAAATTTCTGCAAAGTACCCAAATCTGCAGCCAGCCCTATGTCAATTTCCTTGAGTACAGAAAATAAACAAAATTTGAGAGATAAAAACAACAATTATCGATGAAAGAATTTCATAAAAAGCAAAGAAACATCATGACATCACACTGGAACGATAGTGATAATGAATAACAAACCATGATATCGATATGCTGAAATTTATTCAACACAATTGTTACAGAGTATGCCAAGACTACATAGACAAAAATTAAAATTATTTAAAAATTCCCACCCAAACATCAATATGCACATTCTCCATATTGTTCTTCATACATTTCCTCAGGTGCTGGCAAGGAGAATTTGTTTAACAATCAAGAATTTCTTTTATTAGTTGGTGACCATTCCCTTATACTTGTGACCTTACATGTTTGATTCAGGGGTGATATTGTAAGGAGAAATTAGACGCTAGTCACTCAAACGGGTCAAAAGCCTAATAAAGAAAGACAACACTTAACACCAAACAAATTGGCTGAAAAAATTTTTGCAAACTTATTTTCATTTTCAAAAACATACCTCAAATATTGTTGGGAAGGAAGTCAAATCTCTTTTTTGTGTGCGTGTGTCCACATAATAGCAATTGGTTGATCAATGCATTATAATTTACCATTATACTGATTGGTGCAAAACCAACATAAATACAAAGTCAAAGAGAGCAAACCCAAAGGCTATTGTCCCACAGATCTGTGGTTAGCCAGTGTGCACACCCTACATTTCTCTGTTAGTGGGAAGATTTTAGACAAGTGGAGTGGAGGTTTGTCTGGGATCTAGCTGGCTCCAAAATCATTATCAGTTTTGTACTCCTTGCAAGTCTCTCACTATCTTGCATTACTCAATGACTCAAACTTTCCTGCAGGTGAAGGAAAGTTCATACCTAGTTTTAAGCTCAACTTTGGAAAACTTGAACAAGTCACTCACCCTAATTTGAAACCAAGCATCAGAGGAGCAAAGACGGATGTCACAGGAACAGATCATATCAACTCCTCCACCCACACACCCTGAGTGAACTGCTGCAATGACTGGCTGTGGACATTTTTCAATGCTACGAAATGACTCTTGTAGGAAGAGGATGAGTTTTCTCAGCATATGAGCTCTTCTGGAGGGTTCCAAGTCAGAGTTCATCAAATCACTCCCCATATCCATCAGATCAAGACCTGCAATTTAAATTAACCAGTCTCTATTAAAACATTTAAGATGCATGTATTAAAAAATGTTTAGTTAGAAGTGAACTTTAATTACAGTGAAGTGTTTGATTTTGTATTCAACATTCTCATCACTTACAAATGTTTCTATTAAAACTAGGATAAGCTTGGATGGCAAGCAAAGAGCCTGTGTGTTCTTCAGACATCACCAACTTTGGATGAGAGGCCTAATCATTCGTAGGTTCATGTATCTAACATAATATTTGCCCCAACCTGCAGTGAAGATTTTTCCTGCTCCAGTTAAAACTACAGCTCTGCAGTCAGAATCATCACCAATCTGCCGAAAACAATCCACCATTTCCCTGTGCACCATAAGAAGATGAGATAGTTATTTGAAACGTACACCGCACATCCAAGTTCCATTACAATTTTACCAAAAGATATTAGAAAGTAGAATTGTCAATGTAAGCCTGTACATGGTAGAATCACTGAATGTCTTACCATTTTTACCATAATAATATTAGTGCTTTGTAATTGCCTCTTCAACCTTGTATTCTGAGACAGTAAAGTGGTATGAAACTCTATGAGATGTTGTGTGAACCTCCAAACTTATTGCAAGCCATATTGGTTTGCAACACACTTATCAAAAGGACAAGAATTATAAAAACTTGATATGCAGTATTATAAAAGTGCCCTTTTTGATAATTCTTCTCTAATGACTAAAATTTTACCTTTTTCACAAAATGTCATGAATAGCCCATTGACAACATAATGTTTGGAGAGGTCACAAGCTGACCTTCTCCACAAGTTCAAGGCTGAAGATCACCAAACCATTCACAGGCTGATCATAAAAACCAGAAACATGATATGCATAAGCTTATTGCAGTAATTCAATATGAAATCTACCTCCAAAATGTTCCATTCATGGCATTTCTTTTGTCTGGTCTGTTAAGTTCCACCTGAATCACATGTTCCTGTGGTTTAGTCACAGCAAGAGTTTCAAATTTGTACTGTTCTGTACTGTTCATTCTGGTATTTGAACTGTGGATTGCACTGCTTTGAGATGCCAACAAAACTTTTTCTGGCTTCAATGATACGCATGTATTTGATAGACGACCACTGATCCCTAAAACTAAGGAAAAGAGGCATCATGAAATTAGTGTTGAGGCAAATTGGAGATGGTATCAATGTACCTGCAAATGTCTCTAGGACAAAGGAATTTTAAAAAAAAATACCATAACCCCTAAAATTCCTTAAAGCGATAAGCATCTAATTTCTCCCTGCAGTAACACCCCAGAATCAAACATTAAGGTCATGAGAATGGAGGAAATGATTGCAACCTCAATAAGCTCTTGATTTTAAGACAAATTCTCATTGTAAGTACCATTGATAAGAAATATATAGAGAGACCTTGCATAGTGATGTTATAGTGATGTTAGGGACTGTAAAGGGTTATCGCTTCTGCAATACAAAGAAATACTTTCTTCTCCTATGCATGTTCATTAAGTCTTCAGAATCAGAGTACATAAAGGTACTTTTTTACACTTAATTCGATAGCACGTATGCACGTTTGCTTAGCACGTATTGCACAACTCTGAAGAACTATTAATTAAACGAAGTTGGTGTTGAACTATTTGTGAAAGGCAGGGCCCAGGAGAGAATAGTCGCCGCATGGAGCCTGGAAAAGTATGTTTGCTTCATTTTAATACATGAATCCAGTTGTAAATGAAGAGGTAAAGAACTTGCATAAAATTACATATCAGTTGTAAATATTACTGTTTAAAATTTTACCTTGCACAAGTTAAAGAGTTCTGAAACTACTCTTTCACGTCTCCCATTTAAATTTTAACAACTTACCTCTTCCAATACCAAATCGGGAAAACATTTGTCCAACTTTGTCCTGAAAAATGAACCTAAAACCTTATATTATACTCGCTCAGAAGTTTCCCCTTTCCGCCATTTTGAACTGGGGACGATGCATACATAACGTACCTCGTTTCAATGTTACTTCAAACTAATTAAAAAAACAAAATGACAGACGGCCCCATGGTCAAGACAAGCGAGAAGCTGTACCGGATCCTAGCCTTTGGGGACAGCCTTACCACAGGAAATACAGGAGGTGAGCTAAATGAAGCTATGGACAAGCCTTACACGATTCACCTCTCGAAACTACTGAGAGACAACCACCCTGACTACGCGTTCAAGGTAGACAACAGAGGGATTTACGGCGAGTTGGTTTGCGGTGAAATGACAGAAAGATTACCTAAGGTTTTACATGAAAGCGGACCGTACGATTTAGTGATTATTTTGGGAGGAACCAATGACATCATTGAGGCTAAGAAAGGTTTAGAAGATTCACTCTTTGAAGGAATAACAAACTTACATGCTGCGGTCGTAAGTCACGGCGCAAAGGTCATTGTGCTTACAATTCCAGAAACTGACCTTTACTTCAAAGATCTTAGGGAAAATGGTTTTTGTTGGGTCAAGGAAGAAGGAGAAAACATTCGTTTGTTGGTAAATGAGAAACTAAGGGAATCTATTGAGAGGAATGATGAAAACGTTCACATCACTTTATGTGACTTTGCCGTAAAGTTTCCTCAACAAAGCTTGTGTGACAAGGATTTGCAGGAATTATGGAGCGATGGTTTGCATTTTGGTTAAGAATATATGAAAGTCATATATTTGAACTGCGGATAAAGACGTTAATGAAAGTGATCCTCGCAGTAATGTGCACTACTTAGGCAGTAGTGAAAATAAGGCCTGAAAAAAAAAATGCAGGCCTGTACGGGATTTGAACCCATGACCTCTGCGATACCGGTGCAGCGCTCTACCAATTGAGCTAACAAGCCAACTGGGAGCTGGTCATGAAGTTGGTTCTAAATAAACCCGTGGAGTGATGAATAAATGGTTAAGAATATATGAAAGTCACATATTTGAGCTAACAAGCCAACTGGGAGCTGGTCATGCTGCATTTTTTTCAGGCCTTATTTTCACTATTTACATTCGCACATTACTGCGAGGATCACTTTCATTAACGTCTTTATCCGCAGTTCAAATATATGACTTTCATATATTCTTAACCATTTATTCATCACTTCACGGGTTTATTTAGAACCAACTTCATGACCAGCTCCCAGTTGGCTTGTTAGCTCAATTGGTAGAGCGCTGCACCGGTATCGCAGAGGTCATGGGTTCAAATCCCGTACAGGCCTGGATTTTTTTTTTTTTCAGGCCTTATTTTCACTACTGCCTAAGTAGTGCACATTACTGCGAGGATCACTTTCATTAACGTCTTTATCCGCAGTTCAAATATATGACTTTCATATATTCTTAACCATTTATTCATCACTTCACGGGTTTATTTAGAACCAACTTCATGACCAGCTCCCAGTTGGCTTGTTAGCTCAATTGGTAGAGCGCTGCACCGGTATCGCAGAGGTCATGGGTTCAAATCCCGTACAGGCCTGCATTTTTTTTTTTTCAGGCCTTATTTTCACTACTGCCTAAGTAGTGCACATTACTGCGAGGATCACTTTCATTAACGTCTTTATCCGCAGTTCAAATATATGACTTTCATATATTCTTAACCATTTATTCATCACTTCACGGGTTTATTTAGAACCAACTTCATGACCAGCTCCCAGTTGGCTTGTTAGCTCAATTGGTAGAGCGCTGCACCGGTATCGCAGAGGTCATGGGTTCAAATCCCGTACAGGCCTGCATTTTTTTTCAGGCCTTATTTTCACTACTGCCTAAGTAGTGCACATTACTGCGAGGATCACTTTCATTAACGTCTTTATCCGCAGTTCAAATATATGACTTTCATATATTCTTAACCATTTATTCATCACTTCACGGGTTTATTTAGAACCAACTTCATGACCAGCTCCCAGTTGGCTTGTTAGCTCAATTGGTAGAGCGCTGCACCGGTATCGCAGAGGTCATGGGTTCAAATCCCGTACAGGCCTGCATTTTTTTCAGGCCTTATTTTCACTACTGCCTAAGTAGTGCACATTACTGCGAGGATCACTTTCATTAACGGTTTGCATTTTACAGAAAAAGGCTACAGTAAGATGGCAGAAATAATCTATGAGGACATGAAGCATCTTTTCACGTCCAGAATGACACAAAGAGAATAATTTTAACTTTTTTATTCAGGTACTTATATGTTTTTCAATTAATATACACGCATATCTATAATGAAATGTTCTTGAGGTCTAGTGTAGTTCAATGATGTGCTTGTAAATGATGTCCAGCCAATGAGTTTCTTGCACTCTTTGACACTGAACAAATTGATTTAACTTGCCGAGTTGAGCAACCATTTAATACCAGGCAGGACTCCATCGAGGTTTTCAACACAAGCTGAATTTACCTAAAAGGTAATAATAACATTTTTCATGCTTTGTTCAAAGGCAAAAACAGAGCATTAATGAACAGTAAATGAGAATTTCCAAAATTTTTGGTTTAGAGCTGATGAATATTAAACAAATTTGCCTCCCAATAAATTTTTTCTTTTTTTTAATGAAAGCTGAAGAAAAAAATAGAAAGAAAGAGAGATTCCCAGCAGTCATGGACCTTTCTTATTATTTTCTAGGTTATCTGAACATAAATATTAATTATAGTAGTCTGATTTCAGCAAACATATTGTTGAAAACAGCCATTAATATTACTGCAGCTCATCAACCACAATGTAACTATAGTGCCAAAAATGCATTAACATCCTTCACTGCTTGTCAACAGATTTCCAGATGTTAGTCAATCTTATTTCTGCATCATGAGTGCAATGCAGAGGTCAAACTCTCTAGCTAAATCAATTGTCACTACTCTTTTTGTGCCTTACTTCCAGGGTTCCACATTGCACTCCAAACATAAATTTTTTGTCTTGCATAACTTTTTTTCTTTGCCACGGATTTCACCAAAAGGAGGAGCCTCTTGTAGTTGTTGGAGTAGCCCAAGACGAGACTTACTAAACCTCTCCCTCCCCTCCCTTCCCCCCCCCTCTCCTTTAACAAGCTTACTGGTGTTCAGTAATGTTTCAGCATTGGAATATAAAGACTTCTTCAGATTTCTAATCGAAGGCAAGTACATAATACTACACTACCATATGGCTAACCTGCCATGGTCTGTTGAGTTGTCTCAGCTGTAGAAGCTCAATGACAGTTGCACAGGACAATGAAGGTGTGATTTCTTTTTCAACACAAGACAGCACTAAAAGAGGAGCGCTAAATCAATTGTCACTACTCTTTTTGTGCCTTACTTCTAGGGTTCCGCATTGCACTCTAAACATAAATTTTTTGTCTTGCATGACTTTTTTTCTTGGCCACGGATTTCACCAAAAGGAGGAACCTCTTGTAGTTGTAGGAGTAGCCTAAGAGGAGACTTACTAAACCTCTCCCTCCCCTTCCTTTCTCCCCCCCTCCCCCCCTCCTTTAACGAGCTTACTGGTGTTCAGTAATGTTTCAGCATTGGAATATAAAGACTTCTTCAGATTTCTAATCCAAGGCAAGTACATAATACTACACTACCATATGGCTAACCTGCCATGGTCTGTTGAGTTGTCTCAACTGTAGAAGCTCAACGACAGTTGCGCAGGACAATGAAGGTGTGATTTCTTTTTCAACACAAGACAGTACTAAAAGAGGAGCCTTAACTTGCGTCCAGTTCTCATTCATCATGGCAGACAACTCCACATCTCCTACATTCACTGTGTAGAGATGATAGAAATGTACATTAGGAAAAGTATTTCTGACTGCTGTATATATACCAGTCAATTGGAAAAATTTGAGAACCTGCTTTTTTGAAACTCCAAGATAAGGTGACAAATGTGAGACTTGGAGAAAGAAATTAAAGAAATGAAGAAAAATGAAACTTCCTTACAAAGGGTGCTATTGCTTATGGCTATGGTAGAGATAACCAAATGATAATGATAACGATAATACTAATATTCAAGTGTCATTGAACTAACGGAGAGGATGTAATTCTCTTCATTTTGGTCTGAGATTGTACATAATTCATGCTGTTCTGAAAGTGTTTTGTTTTTTGTTTGTTTGTTTTTTTTTCAAAATAACCACTTGTGCTGTCTCAGTAGACAAGTGAAAATTGGTCGATTAACTGCCACAGGGAATTTTAGAAAGCATATGTTCGAGCATTTATGTTGTAAGAAAGTTGCTTCAACAAAGGTCTAACATTTCATATGTCAACCTTTCAAACTTGACATAGCCATCAGTAGATGTACTCTAATCAAGTAAAAGTTTAAACACTTTTTTTCATGAAAAGATTAATGAAAAACAAATTATAATTGTACCTCTATCAGAGTCAGCAGAAGAGTCAACGACATATATAAATGCATTTACGGTTTTACAAAGTTCCCTGACTGGATGGCTTAGCTCAGTGGAGTGGGACTGGGACTCATGATCCTTGTCATCTTCATTATTATTTGCATTTTCAGTGGAAGCCAGTAGTTTACTAGATCTTGGCCTTCCAAGTCTTGCATTAGCTTCTCTTTCTTTTCTGCAAGAGATCATAAAAAGAAGACACCAAAATAATGTTGTTTGTTTGTTTTTGCTTTACCTCAGTACAGCTCACATCAAAGCTTGTGAAAAGGAACAATGAGAATGAAAGAAATAAATTTTTCATTTCTTTTTGGCTGCATAACTTCTCTTACAGTTTACTATTACCTAATAGAAAAGGATCCAAATGATTTCTGGGAACTAAATTTTTTTTATGGGGCAGGGTTGGAAAGTAGACATAAGTTGTAGACTAAAATTATTCACCTATAATTCATCTGCAAGGTAAATTGATGAGTGTAACTGTAGATTTTTTTGAAGATATCCCTAGAAGGAATCAAACCTCAGACCTTCGGATTCCCCAATCTGATGCTCTACGATGGAGCCACCTGACAGAGACTCCATGGTGAGCAAGGCCCTTAAGAAGTTCACATATGAAGTCCACTGGGAAGTTCACAACAAAATTTCAATTGAATTTCAAGAATTATATTGTTCTATGAATAAATAACTTACTTGTTTGAAGCATACAATGTGATAAGGTTTAATTCCATGTTTTCAAAGCTCAAGCAAACTCCAGAACCAATACCTTATTGAACCATATAACATAAGATTAGTTCTAAGTTAACTCTTCCACTTCTAAGATCTCTTGAGTAATTCTCCTTGCTGTCTGCCAATCAATTCTTGCAATGTTAGTTCTGAGAATTTGGTATTGGATCAACTAATAATTGCCTTATTGAAATTCTTCTTTATTCTCATCACTTGTTTGCTTGATTTACATGTATAATTGTGAAAAGAAATTCTGTCTTGATCATCATTGGAGTTAAAGAGTTCAAAGTAGGAGTGAAAATTAATTTTTATCGAAGAAACTTTTGATTAAAGAGAAGGTTATTACTTTTCCTACTAATATATGCATTAGATAAATGTTATTTCTATTCTAATTTGATCTAGGTATAGCAAAATTAATTAAGACTGTAGTGAGCTCTAGCGTCTAAAACAAATTTTTTTCACTTCACAATAACATCAACCAAAGAAGGTGTAAATACCTTCAAACTGTCCAGGGAACATTCCTGTCACTTCAAATGGTGACTTTTTATCCCATAATAGTTCACGCACAAGTCCTTTGGTGTCTGACTCCAACCCAGGACCAAACATGACTAAACGGGGTGATCTTTTCTTGAAAAAGGAGGACAAGTTTTGCAGGTTGTAGAAGACTATTGACTTGAAAGACTCTCTGGTTTTTCTTAAGGATCTGCACTCTGGACAGCACCTTAAGTATCTACCAAGAAAAAGAGAACAGTACTTAATGCATATGTAAATAGTGTCAATCAACTCATATATGGCTATTTCTTATAGGAGTGAAAAGTATACTTCTGCAAACCTTATATACAAGTAAGTAACAGGAGAATGAAGAGAGATGCATGTCCTCTCAATTGAGAGTGACCCCTTAAATTTCAAAGCAATGTGATACCCAGCTTTTTGCAGCATTATGTGACTTTTAACCCTTTAGCTCCTAGAAGTGATAAACATGTAACTTGTCCCAATAATATTGGATTCCATAAATTATCCAGCAAATGGGTAGTGAGAATACTCCAACTTATCAGGTACCAAACGTTACCTTGATTGAACATCAAATTTGCGTAACCAGTTTACAAGGAAATGTGTAGCAGCTAGAGAGGAGAATTAACAATCAGATCTTGGGAATTAGAGGGTTAAGGTGTAATGCTTCTCTAATTGCACACTATGAGATGAAACTATTACCAAATTTTACATCTTCTGGCTCAGCAGGGACACAAGAAAGGGAGTGAATTAACTTTGATTGTATTCACCCAGTCTTGCCATCAAATCAAATTTTATTTATCAAAGAAGAAGCGACAAATATTATGCTCGACTGTGATGCATATTGTCTCACTCACATTTGTTTCAAAGATAAATCTGATCTTGCCTCCATGTAAGTTGATGGACATGACTGATATCCCATAGTGCTCCACTTGTGCATATCACGTTGCAACAAGTTCATCCACAGTACCTTGTCTTCACTGAGCATGTTCCAATAGTGGCATGTTGACGCAGCTGTGCAAAGTGATCTTGCATCCAAGTATGAGAATATATTGAGTTGTAAGTTTACCTGCAATGAACACATTTTAGATTTCAACAGATTCCATGAGTCAAGATTGTCAATTAATCTGCTGGCCTTGGTGTTTTGAAACTAAGAAAATTTAATTGTTTTATGTTTTTAATTCAAGTACCTCAATTTAAAAATTAGTTGTAGTTTTTGGCTAAATAATAGATAAATAATTAAAAACGATGTACAGAATTTTTGAAATACATTGATTAATTTAAACTTCATGCCAGTAAACATTACTAAGTAAGACACTACTCGAATTTAACTCTTCTTCGAACTTGGGAGTTGCTGAGCAGACGTTTGACTAAACAATCAGTTAAAATACAAGACTACATAATTATTTCCATCATTAAAACACTGATCATAGTAGCTGCAATTAAACTACAAAACTGCTTTAGAAAGATAGATTAACTAAATCCTAGTTACCGGTAGCTCTTGGAAACCAAATTCCGATATGGAAAGTTCCCTGACGATCAATCTTTTCCCTACATCAGCTCGTGCTTTTGACGGTTGAACTGTTATTTCTTGCATTTCTCTTTCCATGATTGTAGTTTGATATAACTTAATCAAAAATTTGACTGGGTAAGTAGCTGCTTCAAGAAAGCTGTCCGTATCTGTAGCTAAGCCGGAAATAAAATCCTCAGATTTTTCGTTTGCTTCGCCTCGCATTATTTCGTCGTTTGCCTGAAAATGAATTTCAGACTTGGTTGTTTTTGTGTGTGCTACGACAGTGGATGACATCGATTACTGGCGCTTAACGCGAGAACTGGTGTTTTTCATTTTGTTACGCTAGGTTTCAGCTGCCCACAGAGCTACGCAGTTATTATTGACGTGGCAGTTCCCATCACTTCCCGTTGTCACGGAGAGTCACGTAAATCCTATTTTTAGCAACATAAACTTTTAACATAATGAAGAACTCAAGAGGTTTCAAAAACGGATTGACATAAAAGGAGCGTGATACTTACTTTTAAGCTTCCAAATTCTGTGGAATAAATATTTCTTTCTTCGCACTTTTGAGTGCACAGTTTACCGACGTTTTCCGTTTCATAACTAGTCTAGTCTTTATTCAATCGTCCATCGATGTTTACAAACTCTCAACCTAGCTACCTCAAATTTTCTCGCTGCTTGCAAAAGCTATTTCTTTAAAACTAATATGAATGATGAAGTTAAGGCCCTTTAAGCACATTTTGCGTTCGCCAATCAGTGTTACATAAAAGATATCACTGCTTACTGCATATTTGGTTTAGTTCGGCAATTTCAACCCAAACGATTGCGTGACCATAAAGTAAGGCTTGTCTCGCAGTGCATAGTGATTCCACCATTACGTTCCACTTGCTGTGGTAAAGACGACAAAGTCATCGATAAATAATTGATTTTAAAGCTCCCCTTACCATGAAAGTGTTACTTTAGTCATCTATTAGTAATAAATTTCGGGCGGCCGTTCGCGACTACAATGATTTCCTTAACAAGTAATAAGAACCGTGGCCGTGAAATGTTCGCATCGCTACTTTGGGGCTCGTTTCCTCACTGCTTGTGATATATTCACGGTTTGGGGTAGTCCTACAGCGTTTTGACTAAGGTAGTTTAAAACTGGTTTCTCAAAAATAAGCGACACACGTAAATTAGCTTTTCAGTCATGGAAGAGGAGAGACAAAGCTTGTCTCGAGTACAACAATTGCAGAGAGAGCAATCATAAAGTACTGGCTCTCAGGAAGAGGTTGAGGCATGCACTAGGATCTACTAACTATTGTCAAAGATAAAATGCAGGGATAAAAAATATTTGAGGACAATTCTTTGGAATACAGAATTTGGGGGACAAAAAAACTATGGGTGACAGATCTTGCAAAAATATGTCCTAGAGTATTCTTTTAATGATACTACACTCAAAAGAAAATGTTCAAAATGACACAAATTGACATTCTCTCATAGCAAGGATTAAGATTCAGATTATGCAGCTGATTTTCAGCCATTTCCAAGGATGCAGAAAATAGTTCTAGTATTAACAGTATATTTTTTTCTCTTTCTTATTTTGCTTTTTACATTTATTTACAAAGTTATTTTCAAATCTAGCATAATTTCCTAATACAATTAAGAATTATCTTTCATATACTTGTATCAATTGTCTTTGTTTGTTTGTCTTTACAAATAAAGGTTACTAGAAATAAAAACTTTATCAAATATTTGAAATTATAGTGCAGTTTTTGTGTGTCTAAAGATCCCAAAGAAACTGCAGAACCTGAAAAAGAGAATAAGAAATGTCACTTATGGGAACTGCATTTGTTGTTTCCATGGAAACAATAAACAACTGTTTGAAAAACTATAGGCAAACAAATTTATATAAAATTGCATCTGCCATCACCAGCTGAGATCATGGTGTAAGACTGAATAGTTGATGAAAATAACAGTTTATGCCTCTTAGACAGAAAAAATATTTTTTCCTTTGTATAATATTAGTTTACAATGTTATATCTTGTATATACTGTAGACAAATAAATAGAATAAATGAAATAAAATTTCATTCCACAATCTCTTTCCTTCTTGCACTTTCTAAGTAATGCATTGAGTAAGCATGTACATGTATATGTAACAATATTATCTATATCTAGTTCTTTTTCCTTCCAGGTAGTTTCAATAGTATTGAAAGTAACCCAGATACCTGAGGTAGAGCCATCTTCACCTAACTTACCCTGTTTTGTTCTGATGCCTGATATTTATTCTTAAGTTCTGCCTTGAGTCCTATAGATATTAACTGTGCTAAGAATCATCAGAGTCACTGGAGGAGTCATAATCTAAACCTAGAGCACTGACAAGGAAGATGAGAGTAGTTTTAATTAGTAAAGTTTTATGGAAAAAAAATGATGGGGGATTTCTCAACCTGGATATTGCCTGATACCTTGCTTATTCAAACACTGTGAATCTATCTCAGTTTTCAAACATTCCCAGCATTAAAACCAATTACCCCAGTACCTTTAAAATATTGTGTTTCCTCTGAACTTTATTTCAATTACCTTCGAAGCAATGAAAATTAGGCTACATCAGTTTTTAAATCAACAACACAAACTTCTTACTGTTTAGGTCCAACATCTATATGATCCCTCTGGTGTTCCAAATCACCTCCAATATTCTGAAACAGAAGAATGTAGGATTTAGTTAAAGAACCACACAAGTTTTAAAATATTTATTGCGCTAATCATGGTTGCTAAGGGACTGAAATCAAACCATCACATAGTGCATATAATATTTTGCTAAATCAATCATAATAAAATTAAAATCAATCAGTAAAGTATTAACTGCTGTGTTTGCACTTAAAGCAAAAGTTACCTTTGAGTTTATTTTACATGTGTCATTTGAAGGATGTGTTGTCCTGCTACAGGCTGTGAATAGAAGATCTGCAGAATCTCTCATCTTCCCACTTTGCACATCTGATGAATTTGCATCCTGTTGGGCAAAAATTTTAGACCACTGATTTTTCAGATAGTGAGAGTGATCTTCAGAATATGTAAGAGGACAGAACATGTCATGTGCATATGCCGCCATGTTAACTGTTGTTGTCGTTTCTTTTATAAAAACATTATTTTATGACCAATGTCATAATGTGAAAGGCGCCAACATGTCATGTCATGAATAAGTTTATGCCGCAAAAATCTGTACGCATGTCATCGCGTGACCCAGTTTGGATGTCCCCATTAGTCAAGTGTATGCTGAGGAGTAAGTCCCATATATCTTCAAAGAATAAGGAACGCCTGTCTTTATTTAATAAGCGCATTTCTGAGCTGATAACCGAGAACAGAAGAAAACTGGCTGCCATTGGTAGCGGTGAGTGGTGGAAGGGCGTGGACACCCTATCGCAGCGTCGCAGGTCATCGTTGATAAATTTGGACAAGAACTCTCTAGTTCGTCTGAACGACTACTTCGCCAACCTGTGCTATGATGACACTTACGTTAGACCTAGTGATATGGATATCCCGGACAGTGTAAAGCCCCCGAAAATATCTGAGCGGTGTGTCTGGAATACCTTAGTTCATGTAAAGAAAACCGCAACGGGACCAGACGACCTCCCGTACTGGATCTGGAAAGACTGTGCTGAGCTACTCACACCAATCGTCACTCACGTTTGGAATCTGTCGCTGTCTACTCATACATGGCCAGACTCCTGGAAAAGGGCAAATGTTAACCCTCTCCCCAAAGTGAATATGCCTATGGAGGACTCGGACTACCGTGGTATTAATGTTACTCCCGTTATTGCCCGGTTGTTTGAGAAGGTCGTGTATCGCACACAAGCACAGTCAGTCATTGAGAGCAACCTGAGCCACACCCAATTTGCATATAGACAGGCGGGTAGTTGCACAAATGCCTTGCTCGCTATCCAGCACCAGACATACAAGTATTTAGATAGTAGTGACTATAGCGCAGTGAGAATTTTTACCATGGACTTCAGTAAGGCTTTCGATTTTGTGAACCATGCTATTTTGTCTGCCAAACTGAAACAGCTACCTCTAAATCCGTACATCATCAATTGGTATCATAGTTTCCTCTATGCAAGACAACAGCGTGTTGCTAGTTATAATTTTTTAGGACAGTGGAAACTTGTCAATAGAGGAACCACACAAGGTAGTGTAAGCGGACCGTATCTTTTTAATATATTTTTGAATGATTTGGAGATTTTTTTTAATGGTTGCCCTGCGCTTTTTAAATATGCCGATGATTCCACTATTATTTTGCCTATCACTAGGAATAGTGACCCGTCTGCCGACTTAGTAGGACAGTTCTTAACATGGTGTAAAGACAATAGAATGGTCTGCAACCCTTGCAAATGTAAAGAGCTGGTTGTTAGAAAGAAAAATCATAATGTACTCTACTCTCCAATTAATAATATTCCCCAATGTAATAGCTTCGTTTTATTAGGAGTAACTTTACAGAGTGATGGAAAATTTGATGAGCATGTAAGAACTAAGCTTGTCAAAGCAAACAAGTGTTTACACGTCCTACGAACATTGAGAAAGGAACATTACTCTCAGGCAGAGATTGATCATCTTTTTATATTGATTGTTTTGGCTAATTTTAGCTATGCACTTTCAGTCTATGGGGCATCTGAGTCCGATCTTACGGTTGTACAAAAATTTTTAGACCGATGTCATGAACGCGGTTTTATCTCATTTCCAGTTTTTATCAAGAACCTTTTAAACAAACAAGACAGAAATATTTTGAAGAAACTAAAATCAACGGATTGCCACCCCCTGAAAGATATCATTCCTGTCCAAAAGACATATCTACACAATCTCAGGAAAAAAGGCTGCGCGCGCCCGAAAATTAATACACAGCGCTTTATGAACACATTTGTAAATAGGTTGATATTTAAGCTCCATTTATTGTAATGATATACTTTTAATTCATAATATGTATGTAGATTTCTGTAGTTTTTTCAATTCATTGTAACATAAGATATGTAGTTTTATCTTATGATGGAATAAAGACTATTATTATTATTATTATTACCAATCTCTAGTTTCTTTCTCAAATTTTGTCATAGTGTTGATTAATTGGTAACAGGACTTCATGTTGTCCAATTCTGTTTGTAATCATATGAGTGATTAACAAATTGGACCCCCCCTTCAGTCATGTGATTATGTTAATCACTTTTATGATTACAGACCAAATTGGACTCCACTTGATCCTATTACCATGATTATAACTCACTCATATTACTTTCAACACCTCAATGGAAATTGTCATTAAAAATAATTATTATCAATGATCTCCCTGTGGTACCAAAAACACTCCTGCTTACTTCACTCTTTAATTGATTCTAAAGCAAATTATTTCTGATGGAGTAGACTAAAATAATAACATCATCTCATCAGCAACTTTAGTGTGGCTTCCACACACATTTACCCTTCACTTTTGTTTATTGCAGCTACCTTTTAAGGAAAATTATTATTCAAAAGCTCTGAATTCCTCAAAGTATTCAACAAGAGGTGTTAATTTTTACATACCTCCTTTTCCAACAAAGGAGTGCAGATCTTTTTAGGTTTCACTTCTGTTTGTGAGCTATCTGTAGTTTTCCGTTTACTGACATAACCTCTTGGCTGCCATGGAACACTTGTTGTGCTGGGATCTAATTCATAAACCTTTTTGACAAACCTATAGCAAATGGTAAAACACATTTGTAAGCTTCTTACTCAAAACAAAATAAAAAATTCAATTCCTCCTCCATATCACCCTCCATTGATTTCTTTGTACAAAAAAGTCTCAATGGTATAATTATTTACTTAGTCAACTGAAGAAGATTTGTTCTGAGTGAAATGAACTCTATCACATCCTTGGTTACAAAATGTGATAATCATCATTCATTTAATACAAGAAGAAATCCGATTATGAACAAACTCTTGGATATAAGATATCACAATTAGTTTACAAGGAAAACCTGGTGGAGCAAATTGTACTTAAATTAACAAAAATGATCTGATGATGAAGCATTGAGTTTGAGAAAAAATTTAAATCCATGTTGGCAATTTGGATAGTGGGAAATATTCTCTGCATAGTCCATCATGTTGGATCAAATGACACTTAACAGTTGCCAATATCATCTGCATGCTACCCTCGGGAATCCTAGCAATAACCAAAGCCTTTGTTTGATGACAATATTTGAAATTACACAACATCATCCAACCCAAAATGGCACCTGCTGGGAAATTTGGACATTATTGTTTCTCTTTTTTATTATTATTATTTTTTTTTATAATTCCTCAAAATACAAGAAACTTTTATCAGTTGAAAAATAACTTGTTGCCCCTGTGGAGACTCCTCAATTGTTTCTTCTTCGTTATTACCTTTTGTATTCATTTTCAAGTTCTTCCACCTTCTTTTCAAATTCTTTCATTTTTGTGTCAGGATAACGATGTTTTCTGGCTCCAGAAAGTTGCTGCAAATATTAAATTAGATTAGTCAATTAAAAGTGGGTACCAGAGCATTCAGCTTTCATATGAGAAGAGGATGGTTTGGAGATTTTGATCAATTTCATCTCTGCAATAGACAAATGGTACTAGAAGCTTGTTCATTACCATGAATCACTAATTATTGTGCTCCTCAAACCTCTGCAAGAAGCTTGAGGGACTGCACTTGTTACTGATCATTTACAGCATTTTTATTAAAATGACAAAATATGGGCTTGGCAGTTGTTTGATCAATGATGAAACCCACCTGAAAGAGTTGAATTATGCTTCTGGTCACCGACTAAGTCGAAAAAATATCCATACTTAAGTTTCTTACCTAGTGACTGTTCCCTTACATTAATTATTAGTCTTTTTTTTCATACCCAGGATCAACAAAACAAGTACAAGGAAAACTATCTAACCATTAATTTATAAAAGGAGTATAGCAAACATAGACAAGGTTTACATAATGTCGACTTACATCTAAATAATAGTCCAATTCCTTTTTTATTCCAGGAATCCACTTTTTAACCTCTGAAGCACTGTTCAGTGAACGCTTGGTTGAAATAACAAAGAAAATAAGCAGATGAAAAATGCACCTGATTAGCCCATACACCGGCACTTTTATAACATAGAATTATATAATGTAAGTAATCTTTATTGTTTATAACTATTTCCAACAGCTGATTGCAAAGCACACTGTAGTTCACAAATGAGTCTCTCACCAGATGTGGTCTCTTAGGACGGCTCTCCTCTTCATCTAATATCAAACGTCATGAAAAGGATTATGAATACTCTGTTTAATAAAGAACGTTAAAAGAAAAAACAAAACAAAACATATTGATAATTACCTTTTTGTTGCTTGGCAAGCCATAATCTGTTGAGGCCAATGAGCTTCTTCTCGCAGTTCCGCGCCATCTTTGTTTTGTGCTCTAAATACCGCAGGCTCAAAAAATCTTGAACTGGTGGCAGGCCATCCGTATGGAATTTACTTCCGCTGATTTTTGATGGGCGCTTTTGGGTAATACAACACATTTTTTTCCTGAACACTTTGCTCTCGTTGCCCTGCAGCTGTGAGAGTTCTGAATGTGTTTGCCATCATTTGCGAGATTTGTTATTGTTTTCGCCACTTTGGTTTTTAGGTGTAAGTTTAATCTGCATTGTGACAGGTTCAATCACCTCACATAATTTTTAGCGGCTTGCTTAAGAAGGACGAGACAATCTTTACTCCATTGCCGCATTACTTTTTTAGATTAGTTTTCATGTGCATCCGCTGCCCAACACTGTAATCGTATGAGGTGTCGAGCTCTTTGATTGACATTTACAGACGCCGAGGGGTCACGGTGCTACCTTGCACAACGACCCGTGAGAACCGCTGATTGATTTTCCGAGTGTTCTCCGCCGACTGCAGCTCTCTTGTATCGTCTGTTTCTATACGTAACCTCTTTACGAAATATGATACAGGATTTGCAAGTGAATTCAAATGGAAGGAAACTTTCGTCCATCGGAAAACCGATTTAGCATGAACAATGGGAAAAATTAGCGCTGAGACGGCAATGACGAAAATAAGTGTTTGAAAAACATCTTGAAAACCTTCTTGAAAAGATTGACTTGGGATGGGGATAACAACTTTTCCAGACAATAATTACCACGAGTTTTAGTTTATCAGTCGAAGGAATTTTGTTTTGTTGCTTAATATCTTAATATTTTTTCTTCTACATAAAGTCTTACCTGATATGTATATATATATATATATATTGTTGTTTTACTCCTTTTTTTCTCTATTCAAGAACTGAATGCATAATGAAGTATGGGGCTGTGCGGAAATTTTACCACACTTGCCCTCGTTTATGAAATACTACTTCTAAATCTCTCGCTCCATATTAAAGGAAGTTACCCCACGATAGGTGGTCTAGGCAACTGTACTGCCATAACTTACTTTTTCTGAAAGAAAATAGAAATTAGGTAAGTGATCTGACCCATCCGAAATTAATACCCTGTTATTACAAAAGTTGGTTTAAAATAGCACCAGCGTTTATTAGTGTGACATTCAGAAATAAAAGTACCCCCAAAATGTACATGCTTTTACATTCAGTGGAACGAGGCTTTTGGTGGCAGTGGCAGAGAATGGAAATAATTTCCTGTTGGCATGAACACAGGCGCGCTGGTATGGCGCTAATTAACTCTTTTGTTGTAGTGTATATAAAGTCTGTCGTTTGTAATGTATGCATCTCAGATCTCAAGTTTTCAATTATATTCCTCACAATGCCGTCCGAGTCAGAAGTAAACCTTGCAAAAAGTTTAACAGCCATCAACGCGGAGCTAAGAGTCGGATTTTCAACTTTGAAGAGAGAATTGACCAAGGAACGAAACGCGGCCAGTAGAAATTGAAGGCCTCGGCTTCATCAGCGTCAAAATTCAAGAAAAAGGGCAACAAGAAACAGTTTGAAGTTAACAATCAAGTCCTTGAGCACATTGAGACCGCTTCTTCACTTCTGGAATCCACACCATCACAAGTCGAGAAAGCCTTGTGGGAGCTTATCGCTGATTCGGTAGAGAATTGTTGGGAAATGGTAAGCGAGTACGAGTGTAAGGATGTCGCAGATGACAGTGACGACGATAAACGTTCTAGGCAGGCAGAAGCTGGAGGTTCTCAGAAACGTTGCCGCTCACAATCTCAAGAGAATAGTCAGAGTTTCCTTCGCAATCGGCCGACGCCAGATCTCACCCTCTATGCCATACTATTCATCAAGTACCAGTTCTACTGTTCCTTTCGCGTCACTGACTTCGTCCCCAACTGCTTGGAATTCCCAGTTTCCTAACAACTGGTCAAGAACGTCTCTTTGAGTTCTTGTAGGATCTTTCTTCGCCTGTGGGAAGTTTAAATATTTTCGTAGCCGGTGCCCCGATGTGATTAGCCTTTTTTCTGATTTATTGATTCGCCAGATTTTCCCTCGCAGTCGGCTGACGCCAGATCTCCCCTGCCATGCCATACTATTCACCAAGTACTAGTTCTGCTGTTCCTTTGGCGCCACCGACTTCGCCCCCAGCTACATGGAGTTCCTAGTATCCGAGTAATTGGTCTTGTTCGGTTCGTAGGCGATCTCGCTTCGCCTGTGGGAAGGTTGGATATTTTGGTCGTCACTCCCCCGATCTGATCGGCCATCTTTGTACATCTTTCAACAAGGCTGCAGAACAAGCATTTGTGATGGACGGGGAATACTCTCGATCCCTCTTAAACACAGATAAGTTCACAGCGGCTCACAGTTCGAGCTGCATACCCACATATTTGTCGTTTCTTAGTTACGAACAGCGATAAGAAAATAGCTATAAAATAGGGCGGAGAAGATAAAAATTACCTTTAAAATGGCATGAAATTCCATAACAGTCAAAATTCCCTTAATTACAGCTATGAGATGGGGTATATATAGGCAAAAATAAAACCAAATAGTTGGTTATCTCGCTCCTGAAATATCGGAACCGAGCAATACTACCCTTTTTGATACTGTGCACAGGCTGCTCAACACGCCAATTCTTTTGATGAATCAAACTTTCCGCATTATTTTGTTTCCCTAGAAGTTTTTTCAGACAAGTTCTGTTAGTTATCCACATCCTTTACGTGATATGGTTTTCGGTTTTTGAGTAAAAATAATTTTGAACCTTAATTTTACCCTGTTGTATAAAAAGTGGAATGGAGTGGAAAATGCTGCTGTCTTTAACCTTTTGACTCCCAGATCAAATTGTAATTTCCCTTACTGTCAACCATACAATTCTTATAACGATAGTTCAGAGAATTTAGTATTGGATCAATTATTGATCCCCAAATTGATATTTTTCTTTATTCTCATTTCTTATCTAGTTTATATTGCATTGATATTGTAAGGATAAATTCTGTCTTGGTCACTCGTGGGAGTTCAAGGGTTAAGTGATCAAATATTAAGGCCCCGAGTCGAATTCCAGACGCAGAAACAGAGGAGAAGCGTCTTTTGAGCGTTTCTAGTAAGAGAAAAAAAAACTTGTATTTGTTTTTGTTTTAGTCACGATGGATCTTTGCCCATCATTTTTACGCCGGAGTTGGCTTATCGGGTAGCAAGAACCCCTTGGTGTGAGCTCGTCTTAGGTAACGATTTATATTGATCATCAATGAAAGCGGCATCGTATCGCAGCAGGGAACGCAAACAAAGCAAGGTGATATTTTAATACCGATAAGTAATAAACAACAAAAGGTTCCTTCAACCTTTATCAAGAAAAATGTAGAATCCCTTCACTTGTTGCAAAAGCTCCTAATTGTTTTTTCGTTTATCAGGGGTTGGCAGGTCTCTTTTCAAGACAACGCAAAAAAATTGTGGTAGTGTTGATCTTTAAAGAACTGGTGTTCAAAACTAACAACACCATTTTGATCCACCCGTGTCAATTAGCCAGCGCTTTGGGTTGAAAGAGTCCCTGGGGTGACCAGAGCACACTATTTCAGGAGTGACAAACTTCCTTACTGTTTTCTTCACGGCATTCCTACTCCGTAGAAACTACCAGCTAAAAACCATAGAATTCACCATTGATTTTTCGTAGCTATAATTTACTTTCCATCCAACTTGTAGGCTTTAGCTCTAAATGCCAATGCCGTCAAACACATCCGCCGGAAATACGCATCAAATCGCTCCAATAACAATGGCTATTAAAGATGACGCTGACATACTATGGACTCAACTGGAGTGCAGAGACGCGTGAGCAGCTTACAGAAATTCAGCTGAACAACAGCCGATTTCCACGAAACCTTTCGGAGACATAGCCATTCAGCTATCCAAAGAGTATTAAACTCATCTACTTTGGCTGCTAGTATGCTGTCGCACTGAAACCCACACCAGATTTCGAAGTTGTGAGGCGCTCGACTCCTAACGCCATTGGTAAGCCATATAAATAGATATAAATATCGATCCCTCTGCTTCTCTGCCCACTGATTCGTTAGAGGAAAGAAACTTCGCATATTTGTTTTTGTTATGTTGTAAAATTCTCAATCTTTAAACAGCATAGGTTTGGTTTGAAGAGTTTGTGATGTAAATATGACGCTTAGCCGAGAGTTTCTCATAGTCACTTGCTTAAGTAACCATGTGAAGGATTGATAGAACAGTGGAACAAAGGAACGGTGGAATGACGGAATATCCTTAAACGCTGAATGACAGGATATCCACTTAGGAATATATATCATTATTTCAGGTCTTGATTTTTATGCCAGCAAGGGGTTTCCCAATGGTACAATTGAATTCAAAGTTTCCTCAAGATGATAAAAGAGTCCAAGTGTCAGCATAAATATCTCAGTCCCTGGCTGCTGCCTGAGTCACTTTTTAAATTTATCTGATATTATTTGTAGAAGTTAGTCATCATAATTAACAATGGAGATGGAATTGACCCAGTTTAACCATATGACTTGATAGAAAAGTGCATTGTTATTGTACATCAACCACATGCAACCACAATAATTGAAACTTCTCAATGTAAGTACATTATCAACAGATCACTGATAAAGTTACATAAGGAAGATATCATTGCTGTAAATTATGTAAAGTGAATTCAAGCAAATGCCTCTGAAAATCACATTGCAACGATTCTCTACAAAACAAAAATTTATTTTATTTTCCGAGTCACTTTCATCTCCTGACTTTAATCAATAATAACCCTTTTTATTGCATCTTAAACAAACAATCTACTGGGTATTGGCCCTTGCTTTCAAACAAATACTTCTGAAAATCATGTTACAATGATTCCCACAAAAATTTGTTTTGCTTTCAGTGGCACTTTCATCCCCTGACTTCAATCTAAAAATAAACCTTTTCAGTGCAGTACAATCTACAAGGTAATTGGGCCCTTGCTTTTTTCCCCAAAAATCTTTACAACTTTTACATGCATGTAGAAATATTTTTGTGTTTG